TTCAAATTCAAATGATAATTAAAATAAATACATTTATAGGATTACGTTTAACCTTTTAAGCATTTGTGGGAACGAAAAGCAGGTTCGATTTTGTTACACAGTGTTGAAATAATAAAATTGCACAATTATTTACAAAACTTCTACTTTCTTCTAGTTGTAAAATAAATAATACATGTTTCTTATACGCAGACTGTCGTTTCTTGTCGGGGAAGTGTTGAATAAAGAAAAACAAGTCAATCCACCATCCCTTGCCAATTCGATCATGAAAAACAGCGTGCCAAAAAATTATCAGCTGTCTTTCACACTTTTCTCTCGTTAATTTGTACAATCCTCGAATCATCGGAGTGGTGTATCCTCGAATAATGGCGAATCCACTCGGGAAACCACGTGACGATCAGCACGAGGCTCGGAGGAAATATCGTGAATTTCAACGAGCTTTAAATTCGTCGATCAAAAGTCTCGATGGGGCTGAACTTAACTTAACTTGATCTAAGCTTAACCGCTTGGCGCTGGCGACTGATTCACGGACCATAACTGTATAAAAATAATTTTCGATCTGTCGCTGGACAGAAAGGAATAAGCTGAAAATTCGGGACAAGAAATAAGGTCCTCGGTCATTCCAGCGCAAAGAGGTTAATCATTGTTATTTAAATAGCGTTATACTTGCCGAGAGAACGTTTCGTTGAGCACGCGCCTTGAATTCGCGACGCGACGAATTCAAGATATAGACGCGGAGCGGGTGTAGGCCGACGTTTGCGGGCGTTGAACGGGCTCCGTTTAGAAGCCCTCGATATAGCCGTAGGCCTCGAGGATCGACATAATGAGGTAGAACACCCAGAGGAAAAAAAGGACCAGCGACGTGGCGACCTTCGGGAGGAAAGGGCCGCCGAGTTCGCCGCCGATGCTCTTCGTCCGCCTCAGTAGTAAAACCAGGATCACCAGGCACGCCTCCGTGCAGAACAGCGTCACGCAAAAGGCCAGGCTATTGCAGAGATTATTTGATTAATTGTTCAACAAGAATTGGCGATAATGTAATTGATTAGAAATGTATGATTCAGTACGTTCAGAACGACGCTTCGAGATCAACTACTCTACGCGGACCCAGTGTTCACTTGTTTAGTTGACGACAAAAGACAATCACGCTCACACGCTCGCATCATTCATCGATATATTCCAACAATTATCAATTTTGTTTTTCTTTTCGTTCGTTAATAGCTTTCTACGCATTGAGAAGCGTAATTGTGTCAGCGAAACACACGAAAAACACTCGATAATTTCAATTGATATCGACACGCCTCCTTTCTGACATAATTTTGTGAAAAAAAAAAAAAAAAAATAGATAAAATAATGATTCACTTTCGGTCTCTTTTTAAGGCGAAGCTTTCTACTTTCGACAGAGCTCGCTTTTTTCAAAACATGATTTTACACTTTTTCTTCGACAATTGTCAAAATCTAAACGTCGCGAGATTGAAACTCTCTCTTAAAACTTGTACGATTTCTTTTTCATCATTTTACTTGAACGTACGCTATGTCAGGATTTCTTGAATTTTTTAATATTCGTTCGATAAAATATTCGATGAAAAAATGGTACATCAAGGTTCAAGCGAAAATATTGAGAAATTTCTCTCGCGACTAAATCTAATACAGTCTTGAAGATTGAAATTCTTTCTTAAAACTCGTTGTACGATTTCTTTTTCATCATTTTACTTGAACGTACGCTATGTCAGGATTTCTTGAATTTTTTAATATTCGTTCGATAAAATATTCGATGAAAAAATGGTACATCAAGGTTCAAGCGAAAATATTGAGAAATTTCTCTCGCGACTAAATTCAGTATAGTCTTGAAGATTGAAACTCTCTCTTAAAACTTGTTGTATGATTTCTTGAATTTTTTTAAATATTTGTTTAACCCTAATATCCAACTATGTTCGATAAAATGGTGAAGAAAAGATCGCACATCGAGTTTGTAGGACGATCTCGAAAATTGCCAAAATCCAAACGCGTGTGAAAACAATGAGAAATTTTTCTCGCGATTAAATCCAGTACAGCCTTGAAGATTTTTCTTACAACTTTTCACCACTTTAATTGACAAAACACTAGGATTTCTTGAACTTCTGTCGTTTCGATCGATAAAATGGCGAAAAAAAGATGGTAGTCAGCATCAAATTTCA